AAAATATATAATTCAACCATTAGTGTTGAAGGAAACGCTGGTTTTGAGTGAAAGAATTTGTCGTTTTTTGTAAATATTCTTAGTTTTAGCTTAATTTTTTCTTATCAGATTTGAGATTAAACTTTCTATTTATAAACATTATGAAATGGCAAAACGTCAAAAAATATAATTTAGAATCATTACGTTGAAGGAACTGCTGGTTTTGGAAGAATTCTTTGGTTTCGAGAAACATGCTTAGTTTTTGCTTAATTTTTTAGATAATGAGTTTTGTTGTCAATCTAGGGTTTGAGATAGTCCTTTGGTTTGGACTTCAAATTAAGCATTTGTGTACTTCCTATTATCAGAATGTATTGGGATTACTTAAGTTTGTGCCATTTTTTATATGAAAACACTTGAACAACCGAACGGTCAAGGGTTATCAATTTTTGAAAGAGTGTTTTGAAATTAATTATAAGACCTTCTGGCAGAAATCTTTTTGTTTTAAAACGAAGTTTTAAGCTTTAAGCTTAGCTTAAGGTCCATTTATTTACCAGTCTCGTATTCGAGTTTTGTTTTCGGCTTTTTGGTCGTTCGAATTGTATTTTTCGCCAATCCTGCAACTCGTGTCAGCCAGGACACGTTTCTATCCTTTCCTCCTTCCGGCCCGTTCTTTTTTCCCCCTTCGAAATTGTACGAGTCAGTCCCGCTTCTCGAGCCCGCGTAGGGGAGTCTATTTTGGGATGATTTTACGACGGGCGGGGATCCGGGGTTTCCGCCCTGCGAAAAGACTCTGCCCGGCGGACCCACAAGACAGTCAACGAGGCCGCGGGACAAACAAACGCCGCTAATGCCTGTTTTCACAAGGCCGCCCTGGGTCGAAAAAACTACGTATTACGATTACAAATAAACAACTTTGATTGACTCTTCGTACACAAACATTTTAGAAAAAAAAAAGCTGCCGGAATTCAGTCCCATGTTAAGAGAGACAGAGAGAGAGAAAAAAACCAATACATATAAGAGTTAAATTTCCACCCTCTCTTTCCAAATGACAACGATTTATAACAATTAAACAAAATGCCGACAAAAGAAAGCAAAAAACCAACTTGATTTTCAAGTAAGGACTTAGCACATTTTGAAAGATTTTAGATGGGTACTTTCAAATAAGCCTTTCTAGCAACAATGTTTTGCTAGTATTTTCTTTTCAGGACTAGAGAATTTTTATTATTTACACTAAATTGGATAAGCTCAAAGCATGCGAGAGCTTTGTTTTAACACCGGGCTTAGCCAATTTCACAATGGACGTGAATTCTTTCAAAATTTTTTCTTCTTTCCCTTCCCTATACACTTCAGGCTCAATCATGTATTTTATGTCGTTTTCTCTCAATTGACGATTTACAACAAATATGAAACTGAAAATTTGTCAAAGTCTCTTAAATTTAGCATAAACCAAGCACGTTTCTCCAAACTTTTCAGTTCCTAGAAAACCAGATTTTACTTCAGTACCAATTGTGCGCTTCTTGATTTTATTTTTATTTATGTATTTATTTTTTTATTTTTTACTTTTTCATTTCAAAATACATGTAAATTGAAAATCTAATACAAATGTTAGCTTTATTTTAAACCCAAACTCGGCGTATTGTCTAAAGTAGAAAAATTGACACGACACGTAAAATTTAATTCTTGGTTTATCACCCATAATCATCCCAAAAAAGGTAAATTTCAATGTTCAACCTCAAACCCTATAATTATTGACTTATAAGTCCTTATCGTCCCTAAAATTAAGCGCAAACTAAGCATATTTCTCGAAACCATCGCATTCCTCCAAAACCAGCATTTCCCTCAACCCTCCTATATTGTACTTTTTGACGTTTTACCATTTCATAATGTTTATAAATAGAAAGTTTAATTTCAAATCTGACAAGAAGAAATAGTTAAAGTCCCATTAATTAACCTAAAACTAAGAATATTTCCAAAAATCGACGAATTCTTTCAAAGCCAGCCTTTCCTTCAACACTCATGGTTGGATTATATATTTTTCGACCTTGTCCGATTTTCAACATGCTGAAAATAAAAAATTTACACCAACTCTGATAGTAAAAATTCTTTTGACCCTTTAAATTATGTACATACTAAGCATTTTCCTCAAAATTCCTAAAATCCTTGAAAACCAGCGTATCCTTCAACATCTATAGGTCGATTTTTAAATTTTTAACACCTTCTCATCTTGACACGTCTATCAATTGATGATCCATATTAAATCCTGTCATAATAAGCTTGAAAGTCCCCTAATTTAAGCACATACTAAGCATTTTGCTGAAAATTTCTAAAATCCATGTTTTTAACATCTTCTCATCTTGACATGTCTATTAATTGAGGATCCATATTAAATCTTATCATAATAATTCGGAAAGTCCCTTAAATTAAGAGCAAACTAAGTATTTTGCTTAAAATTTCTAAAATCCTTGAAAACCAAGGTGTCTTTCAACATCTATAGTTCGATTCTTAAATCTTTAACTCCTTCTCAACTTGACATGTCTATAAATTGATGATCCATATTAAATCTGATAATAAAAAGTCGTCCAATTCCCTTAAATTAAGCACAAACCAAGTATATTGCTCAAAATTCCTAAAATCCTTGAAAACCAGCTTGTCGTTCAACATCTATAGGTCGATTTTTCAATTTTTAACATCTACTCATTTTGACATATCTCTCTATTGATGAATTATATAAATAAATTAAAATAAAACGTTCTTAAATCCCTTAAATTAAGCTCGAAATACGTATATTTCTTTAAATCATTGTTTTCCTTCAAATTCTATTCTTCCCAAACACTTCAGGTGAAATTATATATTTTTTGTCGTCTTCCCATCTTTCAATGTTTATCAATTGATTTACATCAAATCTGATAATGACAAGTCCCCAAAGTCCCTTAAATTAAGCTCAAACTACGTATTTTTCTTTAAATCAACGATTTCCTTCAAATCCTGCTTTTCCCTAAACACTTCAAGCTCAATTATATATTTTTTGTCGTATTCTCGTCCGAAAATGTCTATCAATTGAAGATTTACATCAAAACTTATACTAAAAAATTCTCAAGGTGCCGTAAATTAAGTTCAAACTAGGCATATTTCTTTAAATCAACGATTTCCTTCAAATCCTGCTTTTCCCTAAACACTTCAAGCTCAATTATATATTTTTTGTCGTATTCTCGTCCTTAAATGTCTATCAATTGAAGATTTACATCAAAACTTATACTAAAAAATTCTCAAGGTGCAGTAAATTAAGTTCAAACTAGGCATATTTCTTTAAATCAATGATTTCCTTGAAATCCTGCTCTTCCCTAAACACTTTAGCCTCAATTATATATTTTTTGTCGTCTTTCCATCTTAAAATGTCTATCAATTGAATATTTACATCAAAACTTATACTAAAAAATTCTCAAAGTCCCTTAAATTAAGTTCAATCTAGGCATATTTCTTTAAATCAACGATTTCCCTCAAATCCTTCTCTTCCCTAAACACTTCAAGCTCAATTATATATTTTTTGTCGTCTTTCCATCTTAAAATGTCTATCAATTGAATATTTACATCAAAACTTATACTAAAAAGTTCTCAAAGTCCCTTAAATTAGGCTCAAACTACGTATATTTTTTCTAAATCAACGATTTCCTTGAAATCCTGCTCTTCCCTAAACACTTCAGCCTCAATTATATATTTTTTGTCGTCTTCTCATCTTAAAATGTCTATCAATTGAAGATTTACATCAAAACTTATACTAAAAAATTCTCAAAGTCCCGTAAATTAAGTTCAAACTAGGCATATTTCTTTAAATCAATGATTTCCTTGAAATCCTGCTCTTCCCTAAAAACTTTAGCCTCAATTATATATTTTTTGTCGTCTTCCCATCTTAAAATGTCTATCAATTGAAGATTTACATCAAAACTTATACTAAAAAATTCTGTTAACTCTCTTAAATCAAGCTCATATCAGGCATATTTCATGAAATCCATGAATTACGTCAATACCTTCAACAAAAGCAGTTCAGTTATAATTATTTCATCAAGAATAGATTATAAGTTCTCAACATTCAAGAATTTTTCAGAAAACCAACCTTTCAAACAACTCTTTCCGATCGATAGTTAATATACTAATAATTCGGTTTTTACGTCAAATCTTATCATCCATTTAAAACATTTTATCATCTTAAATAAATTGTTTTTTCTTATCTCATCTATTATAAATAATTAATATCAATTGAAGCTCTGCATAAAATCCAGTAATAAAAAGACGTCGAAGTGCCTTGGATTATGTCCGAACTAAACATATTTCCAGATTTTCTTTTCTTTCTAAAAAAAATTAGCTTTTCTTTCAACACTAATAGTTCATTTATATATGTATGATGTATTTTATTGTAAAACGTCCATAGATGGAAAGTGTATTTTAAATTTTCTAGTGAGAATTCCCTTAAAACAAGAAAAAATTGAGCATTTTCCCCAAATTTAGAGAATTCCTTCAAAAACCAGCTTTTCCTTCAAAAATTACGGTTCAATTTGTGATTTTTTCACGATTTCTCATACTCGACTGTCTATTGATTGAAGATTTACATCAAATCCGGTAATATCGGGACGTTAAAGTCTCAAAAACTGATCCTGAACATTTTTCAAAATTATCTAAATACAAACAATAATTGAAAATAGTACTCAATTGGAAGAAAGAGGAAATAAAACGACAAACGTCTCATTCGTATAAAAAAACTGTTTAATCAATTGTAAATATTACAAAAATTATCAATTTTTTTTAGGTTTACAGAGTATACTCAATATCCGATCACGAGCCATGAAGCTCTTTTGTTTTACTTAAAAAATATACTTAATTAAATACTTAACAACGGGCACTTTTGTCTTAGCACCAAAACATCAGCAAAGAGAAGAAGAAAAAAATATTCTTCTCGATTAAAAAAAAAAATACAAAAATAAATTACTTAAAGATTAAATATATTTATTTACAATATATTGGTTTTTTATTTATATATCATCTATATTGGATAAGATTTTTTTCGTAAAAAAATTTTTTTGAACAATATTCTCATTTTTTTCCCGAGGAATGCCTGGATATTTACAAAAACGGGGCGGGGTGAAATCCTGTAGGGGTGGTTTTTTTTCGGGGATGTCACTGCTGGCTCCATTCTCCTTCCATCCGCCAGACCGAAAACGCGTAGCTGAGCCTTTCGTGTGGCAAGTAGCAGTTCATGTCGTCTGGAAATGTGAGAGAAAAGAGAATTAATCGATATCGTGAAGGAGATGGGCCGAGGTCCGGTTCGAAACGCGGCTCGGGGGCCGACTTTCTCCCAAAGTCCCCCCCCCCCCAGCAAAGAATCAAACATATAGGAAAAGAAAGACATAAGTACAACCTACCATCCGTCTCGTCGAGTCTGTCAGCTTTTTCCGGCAAAGCTGCAAAAAAAAACAGAGAAAAGGTTTTGTTTTAATTCGACAAACTAATTTTTAAAAAAAAACAAGGCCGGGCAAAAGAAATGGGCCCGCCGGAGCTTGCTTTTTTTCACCTTATCAGACCTAGAGAGGGGGTTGATAAGACGAGTGGTTGAAAGCCCCACTTGAGATACACAAACTTTAAAAAATTAATCCATTTTTCCCCTCCTTTGATTTTTGATTCTACTTTTCAAAACTGTCGGAGGGGTGAAAGAGAATTTACAGAATTAGGAAAATTTCATACAAAATTGTAAGGATCTACCATCCGAAAAACCCGTAAAATATTACATAACTTACAGTGTAGCAGGTTTTAGTAATTTTTTGTCCAAGGTTCATCCCGAGGTAAGCTTGATTTAGTGATATTTCCATTCTGCCAGAAAAGTTTCTCCTTCTCATAAAAACGATAGTAATTGTCTATTATAAGTTAGTAGTTTTTCTTTGTTGTTGGTTGTTTTTTCAATATTCATTCCGTAGTAACCTTGATTTATTGATATTTACATTCTGTCAGAAAAGTTTCTCGTTCTCATAAAAACGATAGTAATTGTTTATTAGTAGTTAGTAGTTTTAGGTTTTTTTTTCAATATTCATCCCGTGATTTCTTGATATTTCAGTTCTGTCAGAAAAGTTTCTCGTGCTCATAAAAATGCTAGTATTGGTCTATTAATAGTTTAATAGTTTTTTAGGGTTTTTTTTCAATATTCATCCCGTGGTAAGCTTGATTTATTGAAATTTCCATTATGTCAGAAAAGTTTCTCGTTCTCATAAAGATGATAGTAATTGTCTGTTAGTAGTTAGTAATATTTAGTTGTTGTTGGTTGTTTTTTAGGGGTTTTTTAATATTCATCCCGTGATTTCTTGATATTTTAGTTCTGTCAGAAAAGTTTCTCGTGCTCATAAAGATGCTAGTATTGGTCTATTAGTAGTTAGTAGTTTTTAGGGTTTTTTCAATATTCAACCCCTTGTAAGCTTGATTTATTGAAATTTCCGTTATGTCAGAAGTGTTTTTCGTTCTCATCGTAATAGTACTCAGTTCTTAGTAGTTTTTAGTATTGTTTTGTTCAAGGTACACCTATTTCGATAAGGATTTGCAACATGTTAAATTTGAAAAACCCAACCTTTTAGTACGTAATTATTTGATGGCTGAAATAAGTTAATTATTACTTTTCTGACAAGAGTTAGTAGTTTTTAGTCGTTTTTTGTCCAAGGTTCATCCCGTGGTATGCTTGATTTATTGATATTTCCGTTATGTCAGAAGTGTTTTTCGTTTTCATCCTAATTCCTAATAAAATCTATTAATTGTTAGTAGTTTTTAGAATTTTTTGTTCAAGGTACGTGTATTTCGAAAGGATTTCCATTATGTTAAATTTGAAAAAACAACCTTTTAGTAAGTAATTATTCCAGAGTTGAAATAAGTTAATTATTACTTCTTTGAGAAGAGTTAGTAGTTTTTAGTAATTATTAAGGCACAGTTTTCATCCTTTCATCATACGCTTGATTTATTAGGATTTCCGCTGTTACATTTGAAAACCTCTTTTTATTAATTATCTGGGCTTGGAGTAGGTTAACTATGATTTGCCTGACAAGAGTTAGTAATTTTTAGTAATTTCATATCCCAATTTTATCCCGTGGTAGGTTTGATTTGTAGGGTTTTCGTTATAACCTCTATCTGAACTAGTTTAATAAAGTTGTTTTAATAAAGTTTTAGTCATTTCATTTACTAATATTTTTCTTATTTTCAGTATTGTCCTTGAGAACCTATATAGTATTTTTTTTTACTAAATTTACTAAAATCTACTAACTGCCAATTAAAAATTAATATAACTACAAGGTTACTGACAACCATTAACTTTCAATACAAAAACAACAATAGCCATAAGAACATAAGTATTATAAGTTTACTAAAATTACTAAAACCTACTAACTGCCAAGTGGTACTCATTGAAAGGTATCAAAAAGACTGAAAATAACTACTAACTGCCAATTACTATTAAATTCCAACATAAAATCAAAATTACCCCTGAGAACATAAATATTATGTTTAATAAAACTACTAACAACTACTAAATGCCAATTAAAAATTACTTGTAATTACTAAAAGTAAGTAAAAACGATTAACTGCCAATATAACATCCATATACGCTATGAGAACCTAGATATTGTTCTTTAAAAAATTAGTAAAAACTACTAACTGACAATTAAATATGAACGATAATTACTAAAGTTACTGACAACCGTTAATTTAAAATATAAAAACAATATTATCCATGAGAATATAAATATTATACGTTAGCTAAAATTACTAAACACTACTAACTGGCAATTGATAATCATTTATAATTACTACAAGTTATTAAAAACCGATTAACAGCCAATAAAGATCCACATACGAACACAGATATTATTTTTCAAAAAATACTAAAAACTATTAACTGACAATTAAATATGAATGATAATTACTAAAGTTACTGACAACCATTAACTTCAAATATAAAAACAATATTAGCCATGAAAATATAAATATTATAAGTTTACTAAAATTACTAAAAACTACTAAGTGCCAATTGAAAATCACTTATAATTACTAAACACCGGTTAACTGACAATGTAAGATCTATATACGATATGAGAACCTAGATTTTTTTTTTTTAAATTATTAACTGTCAATTGATAATCACTTATAATTACGAAAAGTTACTAAAAACTGATTAATAGCCAATGTAAGATCCACATACGCTATGAGAACCTAGACATTTTTTTTAATTACTAAAAACTACTAACTGCCAATTGATAATCACTTTAATTATTAAAAGTAATTAAGAATACTACTATCTGCTAATATGATAACAATTTTAGCGAAGAGCATCCATATATTACCCGTTTGCAAACATACTAAAAGCTACTAAAACTATAAAATGAATATTAACCACGAAAATCTAGATATTATTTGTTCACTAAAAGTACTATAACCTACTAACTGCCAATAGTCAATCATGGATAATTATCAATATTACTATGAAAAACTACTACCTGTCAAATAAAAATTTCTGATAATTACTAAAGTTACTGACAACTAATAACTGCCAATATAGGGAGAGTATTATCTATGAGAATCTAGATAGTTTTTTTTTTTTTAAATACAGTAACTGCCAATTGATAATCACTTATAATTACTAAAAGTTACTAAAAAAATCATATAGTTGCCAATTTAAGATCAATTTTAGCAAAGAGGATTCACATATTATCCGTTGGTAACCTTACTAAAACCTACTAATTGCAAATATAAGATGTATATTAACTGTAAAAACCTAGATATTTGTTCCCTAAAGTTACTAAAACCTACTAACTGCCAATTGGCAATCATTGATAATTATCAAAATTTCTGAGCAAAACTATTAGATGCCAAGTAAAAATTTCTCATAATTACTAAAGTTACTGACAACTAATAACTTAATATTCTCATCTATAATACTGATAATAACATAGGTATTTTTTGTTTGCGAAAATTAACAAAAACTACTAACTACCAATTGATAATCGCTTATCATTAATAGTAATGAAATTGTATTTAATAAACTAAAAGTTATTAAAAATACTATCTGCTAATACATGGTCAATTTTGGCAGTGATTCCACATATCCATTTGCAAACATACTAAAAACTACTAACTCAAAATATAAGATGAATATTAAACATGAAAACCTAGATATTATTTATTTACCGTAAATATTTTTTTTTACTAAATTGACTAAAATCTACTAACTGCCAATTAAAAATGATTGCTATCTACTAAAGTCACTGACAACCATTAACTTTCAATATAAAAACAATAATAGACATGAAAACATAAATATTATACGTTTACTAAAATTACTAAAAACTACTAGCTGCCAATTGACAATCATTGATAATTGACTAAAATTACTAAACGAAACTTCGAGCTGCCAAATAAAAATTACTGATAATTACTAAAGTTACTGACAACTAACTGCCAATATACGATGAGTATTACTAACTGCCTTACTACTACTAACTGCCAATTGACAATCATTGATATTGACTAAAATTACTAAAAAGTAACAACGCCAATATACGATTAATATTAGCCATGAGAATATTGTTATTGTTTGCGAAAATTACTAAAAACTTCTATCTGCCAATTGATAATATCATTAATAATGTAATATTGTATCAATTAATAATAATGAAATTTTAGTTAATAAACTAAAAGTTATTAAAAATACTATCTGCTGATACATGATCAATTTTGACAAAGGGAATTCACATATTATCCATTTGCAAACTTACTAAAAACTACTAACTGAAAATATAAGAAAAATGTTAAACATGAAAACCTAGAATTTAAGTGTATACCCTAAATATTATTTTTTTACTAAATTTACTAAAATATACACCCAATTAAAAATGAATGGTATCTACTAAAATTACTGACAACCATTAACATTCAATATAAAAACAATAATAGCCATGAGAACATAAATATTATATGTTTACTAAAATTACTAAAAAACTACTAGTTGCTAATCATTGATAATTGACCAAAATTACTAAACGAAACTTCGAGCTGTCAAATAAAAATTTCTGATAATTACTAAAGTTACTGCCAAAACTAATAACTGCCAATATAGGATGAGTATTACTCATCAGCCTTACTGCTACTAATCGCCAATTGGCAATCATTGATATTGACTAAAATTACTAAAAAGTAGCAACTGCCAATATACGATTAATATTAGCCATGAGAATATTGTTTTTGTTGGCGAAAATTACTAAAAACTACTAACTTTACATAATTTTTTGGTTGGTGATGGAACGGACTGCGCCACGGAAACCATGTGGATTTCGTGAGGATTTGGAAAAAATTACTAAAAACTACTAACTGAAAATATAAGATGAACATTAATACCGTGCAAACCTAGATATTATTTCTTCATTAAAGTTACTAAAACCTACTAACTGCCAATTCACAATCAGTAATAATTATCAAAATTACTAAACGAAACTACTAGCTGACAAATAAAAATTTCTGATAACTACTAAAGTCACTGACAACTAATAACTGCCAAAAAAGGATGAGTATTACTAATTGCCTTTCTACTACTAATCGACAACCATTGATATTGACTAAACTTACTAAAAAGTAGCAACTGCCAATATAGGATTACTATTAGCCATGAGAACTAGATATTTTTGTTTGCGAACATTACTAAAAACTACTAACTTTATATAATTGTTTTGGATGGTGATGGAACGGACTTTGCACAACTTAAACCATGTGCATTTCGTAAGGATTTGGAAGAAATTACTGAAAGCTACTAACAGCTTGTTGGCTACATGTGTTGGGTGTACCCGATAACCAAGATGACCTATGGAAGGTATAGGTTATATCTGATGACTATCATGACATGGTGACTGATCGGTGATAGGAAGAAGCTTAGGATGGAGTAGTTTAAAGTTTAAAACTCACCTGTCTCGTCTTCGACTTTGATCTGCGGCTCCTGCAGTATCCTGTAGAGGAAGTCTATGTACCTCGCGGCCAGCTTGAGCGTCTGTATCTTCGAGAGCTTGTCCGACGGCAGGGTCGGTATTATCTTCCTGAGTGCTGCGAAAGCTTCGTTCAAGCTCTGGGTCCTCTGCCTTTCCCTCACGTTCGCCATGAGACGCTGGCTGTTAAGCTCGTCCGTCGAGAAGTCCGTGGAACGCTTCCTCTTCGGCTGTTGACGGCGTTCCTTCCCTTGGTGGTACCCCTGGCCCGGGTGGACGTACTGGTACTGGTACTCGCTCGAGAACATGCTCCGGAATGGTACTAAGCCCGCTTGAACGGCTCTTTCAAGTCCCCCACCTCCGCCTCCGACGGGTATTAATACCCTTTTACATTTCCCTCTCCCTCCTTTCGATGAGGGTGTTAAGGAGGACTTCACCTAGAGTCCCGCGAAGCGCAAACTACTTAAATAACCTTAAGATAATACCAAATAATTAATATTATATATCAATTTTTATACCTACGAGAACAAAATAATAAGCAATAAATCAGTCTTAATACATAAAAAATGCCGAAATTTAAACACCCAGCTTTTTAGTGTTTAATTATATACAGAAAACGTATGCACAGTCAAAACAAGAAAAACCTTCACAATTTAGCAAAAAATAAAAGCAAAACTTACAACCACAAGAACATGCCACCAAGTCTGATCATTTTCCTTCTTAAAAAAATGCCAACACAATTTAATTTTTTCACATAAATTATGTAGAAAAAAACATAAACAAACATATAGAACAAGGAGAACGAACCATCACAGCTAAGTGAAAATAGTACCCGGTGGTGAGAAAAATCCCAGAAAATACATCTGACGATTCCACTAATTTATCAAAAAATTAATAACGAAACTATAAAAAATAGTGGGTTTTGAGTTGAAATAATCACATAATAGACAAACACATTCAAAGGAAAGAGAAAAAAAGTATCACAGTCGTGGAATCTGCATTAAAATCACAAATAACGAGTTTTTTGGGGGTTGAATAAAATTTGTATAACAAAAAACATAAAACACAAAAGATAGATTTAAAAAAGAGAGCTGAGAAAAAATACAGCCAAGTTTTATTGAACATTTTTTGAAAACCAGACAGAATGATCAGATTTGAAGGCGTTTTTCAGGGTTTTGTTTGTATTTTTTTCCAAGATGTGATCATTTGTTTTTGTTGTCTTGACTGTGTTTAGTTTTCAGTGAACAGTTTACCTCGAAAAAGCCAATTATTTTTGGTTTTATTGGTCCTTTCTTTGAAAATCGTCTGGCAAGAAGAGATTTGATGGCATTTTTAGATTTCTCTTGTATTGGGCATATTTTTTCTTAGGTATGGTGGTTTATTCGTCTTGTTCCGACTGTGCTTAATTTCACTCGGAGAAGCCTGTTATTTAAGGTTTTATTGGACCGTTTTTGGAAAATCATGTGGAAAAATCAGATTTCATGAAATTTTTCAGTTTTCCTTGACTTTGGCTGTATTTTTTCTTAGGTGTGATGCTTTATTATTCTTGTTTTGACTGTGTATTTTTTTTGTTTATAATTAAAACAGAAAAAGCCTGCTATTTGAGGTTTTTGTTTTGATTTATGGAAAATCATACAGAAAGATCAGATTTGATGGAATTTTTTAGGATTTCCTTGAATTAGGTATATTTTGTCTTAAGTGTAATGCTTTATTATTCTTGTTCTGACTGTGTATTTGTTTTTTGTGTATAATTGTACCCGAAAAAGTATGATATTTGAGGTGTTTTTTTTTTATTTTTGGAAAATCATATAGAAAGATCATATTTCTTAGAATTTTTAGGTTTCCCTTGAATTGAATATATTTTGTCTTAAGTGGTCTTAAGCTTTATTCTTCTTGTTTGGACTGTGTATATGTGTTCTGTAAATAATTCTACCAAAAAAGCCCTATATTGGCAGTATTGTCTGACATTTTCGTAAAAATCATGTTTTGATGGCATTTGTAATTTTTCTTGATTTTGGCTGTGTTTTTTCTTAGGTGTGATGCTTTATTATTCTTGTTTTGACTGTGTATTTGTTTTTGCCTATAATTTAACCAGAAAAAGCCTATTTGAGGTTTTTATTTGTATTTTTGGAAAATCATATAGAAAGATCAGATTTGATGAAATTTTTTAGGATTTCCTTGAATTATGTATATTTTGTCTTAAGTGTAATGCTTTATTATTCTTGTTTTGACTGTGTATTTGTTTTTTGTGTATAATTGTACCCGAAAAAGTATGATATTTGAGGTGTTAATTAGGCCAAATGGCAGATCCAAAACAGAAGGGCAGAATTCTTCACGAAAGGCTCAACTACAAAAGCCATATCGGAAAATAAGGAGGTAAAAAACATAAACAAAGATGTTTTCTGCCTATATTTTGCATTTATATCAAAGTTATACATATCGAATTTATATATCAGTCGAAACCCCTGAAAATAAAAGTTTGCGATTTTAAAAAGTAGAAGAAAATTCTAAGAAAAATATTTTCTAAATAAATTGAGTAGTTTTTGAAAAAACCAGGGGGGAACATTAGTAAATTGACACGTTGTATATACAAGAATAAGCATGCAATTAAACACATGCAATTATAAAAAATCTATGTAGACAGAAATACCCAAGTTTACTCTAAAAATCTGAATAAGGGATTCAAAGATTCTTGCGGCATACTCGCTCCCTATATGGAACTAACGTTTTTAATTTTTGAGCCTTTATTTTGCACCTATTTTAAAGTGATAAGTTTTTTTTTTTAATTTCTTCTCAATGTAAATTGGTAGGTCACAAATTTTTAATATTTATCTGGACAAGGCATGTAATTTTTTTCTGTGTTACTTTGCAACTTAGCGAAGCAGGTTTAAATATTTTTTAAGCAAGAAGCAAAGTCGATATTGGTTTTTCAGGGTAAAACTCCTGAATAAGAATTTTTGGAAAAATAAAATAATTTTAGTTTTGTCCCCCTTGAATTTTTGTCTAAAATCACTGAAATAATGAAAACTTTGAAACAGCTCTACGGATCTATCGAAAATTTATAGTATTTTAGCACCCTTCAACTAATATAGCACAAACCAGGCCTCCGTGAAAAAAATCAGAACTACAGATTAAAAAAATAAATAAAACGTTCCACAGTCTTTTCCCGACTTCACCATTATTTTTCTCACTTGTTATATTGTAAAATACAAACATTGTTGATATAATTTGAAAGAAAAACTATCCAGCTTTTCACCGGTCGTAATAATATTGGATTCTGAAAGATACCAGAGGAGTTATGCATTTTTCTCGGAAAGACCCGGACACCCTAGAAGAAAAAAATCACCCCAGGCTGATCCAGTCCAAAAATGTTTATTATTATTTTTTTTTATCCGTTTAAAAATTCATATTCAATGATTTTAAAGGGTGCTTAAAACGAATCTTGATTTATTTTTGTCGAAAATAATTTTTTTAAGCATACTTTAGTGATGGCGGGTTGTCGTTTTTGTCACTTTTTATGTATCTAAACGCATTTAATACTATGCTGAACGTACGTTTTTTGACGACCGATTTTCATGATTTATATTTTTTTTTAAATATTGTCAAGTGCATTTAATAAATGCATCGAACATTAAATCGGACCGTTATTTCCATTTAAAAAAAGAGGTTAATTTTTGACAAATAATTTCCCTATTTTGAGTATTCTCTTGTAGGAAATGTTTTATGTCCGATAACGAATTATTAAAAATTGGAAAAATTTTAGAGTAAAAAAATCGATAAATTTAAATTCAAAGAAAAATTTATATTTGACGGTCTCTAAATGGCCTAAAACGAACTTTTATATTACTTTTAAGAAAAAATTTTATGACCTAGTTTACTTTAAAAAAAATTGGTTTTTAGAAATTTTTTCATTATTGATCAACTTTGATAGCTTTTAGTATATTTTTATTGCAATCTACATAAAAAATGCTATAAAATGATATATTTATATAGTTGATTTTAGGAAGTAAAACAGCGTAATAAAAATATTAAAAAACGATCAATTTCAACTGTCAAATTTATTGTGGCGAAACTAGGGCCTATTCACAAGAACTGGCGGATAGTAGTCCAATATTTTGGAGTGTAGGATCGCCAAAAAAATGTTTGATCGAAATCCGTGACACACCAACCTGGTCGTCCCCTGGTAAGTTAAAATTGTGAAGAAAAGCCACCCCCCTGGGAGGAAGTGGTCAGCCTAATCAGGACCAGACTTGATTTTTGTCAATTTTTGTTTTTGGGCTGGGTCGGATGCCTGATGGGGATCGATTTTAACGGAAATACAATAGCATTAAATAAAGTACTGTTAAGTCAATAAGTCCAGAGGGGTTTTCCAGTGCCTGGAAACCCGTTCGGCCCAGTCTGCTTGACGTCGAAATCGGCTCGTTTCCTTTTGTGAGAAAATCCCTTCAAGAATGTTTTTTTTTTTTTTTATGAGGGGAGATTTTCAAATCCAGCTCAGGGTCCGCGAGGTCTCGTCCCGTTTGGTATAGCTTATCTGTATTTTTTTCGTTTTACATATGAGGAAAAATAGAATGAGGGGGGATAACACGTGAGGAATTTTCCTAGATTGCAGGACACGGATTTAGCACCCTGCCGGAAGGATTATCCCCCTTCAAAGGGGTTGTAAAATATTCCGCCCAGGAGACAGGCAGTCTGCCCTGAAAATCGGATATCGTAAAACGGCCCCTTTCATCCCTAGCCGGCTCGCAGATGTCGAAGGGAATTCGGGGAAAAGTCAGCCCCTACCGCGAAAAACAACTTGGAATGTACAAAAATTAGTTGAACATTGCCTAGGGTGGAAAAAAGACAAGACAATCAATTCTAGATACACAAAAAGAGACAAAAACGACAACACTATCACCGAAGTACGCTTTAAAAAATTCTTTTCGAAAAAAATCGATTAAAATTCGTTTTAAGCACCTTTTAAAACCATTGAATACGAATTTTTAAAAGGATCAAAAAAATAAATATTTTTGGATGGTTCAGCTTGGGGTGATTTTTTCATCTAGTGTGTACGGTTTTTTCTGGGTAAAAATTCATAACTCCTCTGGAATCTATCGGAATCCAATATTATTACGGCCGGTGAAAAGCTGGTTAGTTTTTCTTTCAAATTATATCAACAATGTTTGTGTTTTATAATATTACAAGTGAGAAAAATAATGGTGAAGACGAGAAAAGACTGTGGAACGTTTTATTTTTTTATATGTGGTTATGATTTCTTTTTTTTTAACGGAGCCCTGGTTTGTGCCATTAAATAAACGTAATAAAGTCAGAAAAATATGCTTTCTCTAAAGCGGTAACAAAAAGGTGGAATTTTTTTTCTACAAATGGATCAACCTTCGAAAGAAAATAGGCTTAAATTTCTAAGTACTGGCCGAAACT